GTTTTTCATAAGTTTCCTACATACGATTACATAGAAAAGAATGTGGGCTGAGCACAGTGGCTCAGCCTATAATCCCAGCACTTTGGGAGGCCGAGGTGAGAGGACTGCCTGAGACTGGGGGTTCGAGACCAACCTGGGCAACTTAGTGAGACCTCATCTCTACAGTAAATCACAAAACTAGCCGAGTGTGGTGGCATGCATCTGTAGTTCCAGCTACTTGGAAGGCTGAGGCGGAAAGATTGCCTAAGCCTAGCTGGTCAAGGCTGCAGTGGCCGTGAGTGTGCCACTGCACTCCAGCCTGGGCGACAGGAGTGAGACTCCAACTCAAAAAAAAAAAAGAAAGTGTAGTCAATTTCTAATATTGCAAAATAAGTTCGAACTAGCTCTGTGTAATGTCTAGATACTTATTTCCTGTAAGTTGACAGTTTTCAGAGTCTCAAAGAGGTCTATGATCTCAAAAGACTGTCTAAAAAATGCTCTCCTGATTTAGGTACTAACCTCACATAACACATACATCATTTCATGACAATTTAAGAATTATATGGAAGAAAATCAAACAACACTTGGAAGAAAATACAAATATTTAGTACATCTCAAGCTGGGAGAAAGCTTTCTGGATGAAAAAGCAAGAGAAAAACTGATTTCATTGACAAATAAACATCAATGTCCAAAACATCAGCAAAATGTAAAAGTCAAATAAAATAGAAAAAATGTTGCAAGAACTACAAGTCAAAAACATGATGTAAAAGCAAACAATTCAGCGCGAAAATACACTCTTCAGTAAATAAGTGTAAAAAGACACGAAGTGAATATTTTCAAAAGAGAAAATACAAATGGATATAAACAGTGAAAATTAATCCCTTTAATAATAAAAAATCAAATTAAACCAAGACCATTTTGTCTATGATATTAGCAAAGGTTTCTCTAAAGTGATATAAGGAAGCAGTCAGAAGAAGATGAGCACCTTCACATACCCTTGGACTAAGAGACTAACAGCAGCACCGTGGTACAGTCTTTCTGGGAAGTAATTTTGTGGTATGTATCAAATGCTTTTAAAATGGTGTTGAGTGCACCTTGGTCTCTGAAGTTTTGCTGAAAAATCAACTCACAAAAGACAGATTAATAGGAAAAAAGATATACAGGTGTGTTTAACACGTCTACATGGAAGTCTCAAAATGAAGACCCAGAGACACAGAGGGGAAACTGTCCATTTTTAGGCTTATATTTAACAAAGTGTGGACAGTGTAAAACAAAAATGTAGAACAAAAGTATAGACCAGTATTGTATGAAAAGGGTAGGATACAACGCTGATAGACTGAGTGGGGAAACCCAGCAAAGCCTGTCCAGCTAGATTCTTCTTGGTCTCTCTGAATTCGAATTACCTCCTCCAGAGGGTGAGGCAAGACCCTCTTTGGAATGGGTGTCTTTCTTATAACCTACAGACAAACTAGGTAGGTCAGATAACTTTTTTAATGGCCAGTTAGTACATGGACAGGGCAGAGGGAAAGTGAGAGAAACAGTCATAGGTTTTATGACTAGCTTTGGAGAGAAGAGGTTCTGGTTTCTACGACTCACCTTTGGGGAAGAGGGATGCTAGTTTCTATGGCTAGCCTCAGGGGCAAATGGAACTGAGAGACAGGAGGGCAGGAGAAGGTCAGAGAAAAATTTGCTGCTGAGGCATTCATTTTGGAGTATTGTTTTGGGACCCCCAACGTTAATCACTTTCTTTGACCAAGTTAATTTCAAATCATTTATATCTAAGGAAAATTATTCCAAAATATAGACAGAGATTTTATGTAAAAATAGTTCAATTCAGTGTTAATATGTTTAAAAAATAAAAAACGATCAAAGTTAGTTGGACCAGTAACACACACCTATAATCCCAGCACTTTGGGAGGCTAGGACTGGAGAACTGCTTGAGCCCAGGAGTTAAAGACCAGCCTGGGCAACATAGTGAGACCTCATCTCTACAAAAAAAAATAAAAAAAATTAGCCAGGTGTGGTGGCGCACACCTCTCATCTCAGCTACTCAGAAGGCTGAGGTAGGAGGATCACCTGAGCCCAGGAAATCAAGACTATATTAAGCCATGATTGTGCCACTGCACTCTAGCCAGGGTGACAGTGAATATGCTGCCACTGAAGTGTTTGCAATGAGTTTCTCAGATGACATGATTAAAAATCAGTGATCTGTTAAATGAGGAAAAAAGATGTAGAAAAAAATTACTGAAAATAAAAATTTAAGGAAATATGACAAGATGTTTATGGTATTGTTTCCAGGTGGGATTTCAATGACTACTTTTATTTTCTGTACCTTGCAAATTATCTGCAATGAGCATATATTACTGACACTTGGGGAAACTGAATTAAATTTAAATTAAACACACCAAGTTTAGATCACAGACAGAGGCACAAATATTTTTAAGAAAAAGGTCATCTCATATGAATGAGCAAATAATGAGTTTAAAGTTTCAAAACAACTGGTGAAGAAAAGGTTTCATTGTTTGTTTCTCGGTTTAACTGTTCAGTGGCATTAACTTTTCGGTGACTTGGATGCTGTTGAGTGTTCTTGAAATGACCATTGTCACCAAACTTAAAAATCAACTTCTCAGGCAAGAATATGAGGAAACAATTTAAGGCTGGTGAGGATTTGAAAAGAATATGAAAAGAATATGATTTATAAGAAGAACAAAAATAACAGTTGGAAAAAGTGTGAAGAAATGGCCACCTAATGCCATAAATTTTGCTGCTTGAGAAGTGATCTTTATAATTTAATAAGAGATGAGAACCTTCCCTAATCCCACCCTCCCTGAGTGTGGCCACAGCTTCCTACTTTTAAAAGCTTTTTATTGGAAATAATTTCAAATGTATAAAAAGTTGCAAATGTAAGAACTAGTGAAAGAACTCTGATGCCCTTTACCTATATCCTTTTCTTCTTACTATTGGAGTTCATTTGAATTCTCTTTCTCTATACACATGCATATACACACACAATTTTTCTGTGAACTATGTGACGTTATATTAAATACATCATGGCTCTTTACTCCTAAATCTCCAATGTGTATTTCCTACTAATAGAAACATGAATCCTACTATTTTGAGCCGGGACAGCTGGAGTGGGAAGAAGAGGGAATGGCATGATCAGCCATTTCCCCCAAACAGCTGCAACACCAAACAGAGGTTGAGAGCCAGCACTAGACAAATGTAATTATTCCATCCATAAAAATAAAGTCTCCAGTGTATGTACATGTATTTATAAATTGAGTATATGTACTAGCCTACTAACGTATTATGCTTCTTATAAAATATATACTTTAAAACGGATAAGGTAAAATGAACACAAATACAAGATTCAAAGTTTTCATCCTGCACCCGAAGACAGCATCTTGCATCCTTGAATGTATATGCCTTCCCCTCCTGGGAGGCCACTGCTCTACACTGTGGGGGCTAAACAGGAAAAAGAACACCATGATTTCCAAGGCTGAGTCTGGGTCCTGCTGCCTGGGAGTTTCTCCTTCACACCTGCCAGTGCTCTCTACCACAGCACACTGTCTTATTGCCTTCATAGCTCTTATCACCACTGGAAGCCATCTTGCTTATTTAAGTGCTTATTTAAGTCTATTATCTCTCCCCACTCCCCACTGGAATACCAGTTCCTTGAGAGCCAGGATCCTACCATCTTGCCCATTTCTAATTTCTCAGCACCTAGAACAGGGCTCGGCGTGGAGTAGGTGCTCTTAGAGATTTATTAATGAATAGAACTGAACATCCCCTGGCTCCCATTCCAGCTCTTTCTCCTGCTTGGTGTTCCATTCTTCTAGCAGGTAGCAGGGCCCCTGACCCCCTGCAGGAGGCTAACAGTACCCTCGCCTCCTTTTGAGCAAAGCTTCTCAGCTTCAAAGACCTTCTGTAGCGGTCAGAGGCTGAGGATAACTTGGTTCTTCCTGTAAAACACAGGCCCACAGTCTCAAATTTGAACTAAAAAACATATAATTAAAATATCTACTGAAAGGTACCTATATAAACCTAGAAGACACTTAGCTTATTCTTAGTTTAGTCTTTTTCCTCAGGATAACCATTAGAAAGCATTCAGACATTCTACTGCAGGACAAACAGCAGCCTATCATCCCATCCCCTGTGGTAAATCTCCTTCAGATACAAGATCAGGACAGCCCAACCATTCATGGTTTAGCATAATAATCTCTAGTAAACTTTTAGGTTCCTTGTCAAGACCAAAGATTAAAGATCACTCTTTGTCTGATCAAAGTCATAAAAGTAATAAGACTACCCCACCTTTGGTCAAGGAATTTGTGAGTTGCAAATGTCTGAGTTTGTGAATTGCAAATGTCTTGCAGGAAACTCCCCCCTAGGGTTAACCTAATCAGCCCTCTGTGAACTATGTGACACAGATAACTCCCACCATGGCAGCAATCCTGTGACTAACCCACCCATCTGCCTGCTGTCCATCACCTGACGTCAGTACCTGCTCTTGCCTGCCCCTTTGTGATGACAAGGTGCAGACCACCACCCAATCACCTTAATGATCTTCCCCCATCAAGGGGAATGGTTAAAAGGACTCAACCACAAGCAGCGAGCAGCCATTGCCTTGCTAGACTCTGGTGTAGCCATGTGCTTTTCGAGCTATGGTTATCGCCAGACTTCCTGGCTTTGGCCCCCTTCCCCACCTTGGGGAGGTGAATCATCTCTCTCCCTTCTCTTTCTCTCTCTAATTCACTTTTAAATAAACTTTTCTTTCTTATCCTCTTTGTGTGTTGCAATTCTTTGCATTTACTTGGATCTCTGGGTTACCGGTGCCATGCCTCCCCTCGCTCCATCCACCCTCACCCTATCCGGACCCTAACATCTACAAAGGCATTTCTTTAAAAAGAATCCTGTACTTGTAAGGTAAACTATCACATTAACACAAAAACCATCTTTCTCACTTAATCAAGCTGCTCTTGTAGTTTCTGTCCTGGGAAGAATGGGGTAAGGCATGCAGGTACCTGATGGTTTTCCACACGTCGAAGCCATCCAGGGGTTTGGTGCCATTGGTGCTCCCCCCAGCCAGATTCACCAGCGTGGGCAGCCAGTCGGAGATGTGGATGAGCTCCCGGTTCCTCACGCCCTTCTGTTGCAGCAGGGGGCTGACCACGAAGCCCACCCCACGGACGCCTCCTTCCCACAGGGTCCACTTTCTCCCTCGAAGGGGCCAGTTATTGCCTCCTGCCAACGTCTGCCCTCCATTATCTGAAAGACAGTTAGGTCTCGGTGTGAGGATGATGTAACTCCCAAATACACTTGAGAACAGAGACTTCTATGAAAGTTGCTGCCTAAGTGGTGCTTAGAAAGTAAAAGACAGCTCCTTGCCCTCTCCCACACTACTCATCTCCTGCCAACACAGACATAACCAGGGCCCACTGGCACATATCTGACATGAGACCATTAAATCCTCCGTGGATGGAGTTCCTGAAAAACCAGGCCCTGATGGTGTATGCTTTGGAGACCCCAGGCCAAGCAGCCCACTGTGTTTCCAATGTGTATGCGGGACTTGGTACAGCACAGGAGCACAAAGTCACAGAACTGGGCCCTTCCTGTTTATGAAAGGAAAGCTCAGAGTGAGTTTTACTTAGTGACTCGACACTCCTGATAAGTGAGGACAGCTGACCTTTTCACTTTCCTCTTAGAAAAATGTTCTAGCATTTCAACTGGAAATTGAGTACACATTCTATTCCCCAGCAGTAAGTGTGATAGTTGAAGATTTCTCCAGTGTTTTATAAAAGTCTCTGTAAACAGAACAATTGGGTGGAAAAAATAATTTTGAGAAAAATTTCTCTCTTCTTGACAGGATGGTGAGATACAGCTCCATTGTGTACAATGTCAAGGAAAAGAAGGTTTCTCTTCCAAGAAAACAAAAGGAATGGAAGACATTGGCCAAGACAGGGTGGGAATTACAAGGAGGACTGAAGTTAAGTATATCACCAACCAGGTGAGGACTCAAAGTTAGATATTAAGCTAACTGCAGAAAATAAAAAGTACTATCTTGTATACTGAGGTTATTGAATCATACAAGCTCCAGAAGCATCCATACACTTAGGTGACTTTTTAGAGACATTTCTTATATAATGCTTATTTTGCAGGTATGTTATGTTTTAATTAAATGTTTTTAAAACACACACACATTATTATCCAAATGAACCACATGAGGGCAGTATGACAGACTAGCTCTAGAAGACGTTACACATAAAAATCTATTACAGAAACCAGAGATCTCTCAAAGCCACCAGATGTACATGGGAGAAAAAGAAACAAGCATTTGTGGGGCAATGATTCCGCACCAGGTGCACTTGGATTTCACATGACCTTTCACAGAATAGGGAATCAGGCAGACCTGGAATTGATGCCAGCTGCTCACTAGCTGTGTAGCCAGGGTCAAAACACTACCTCAGTTTCCTCATCTTTATGTGGAACTAATAATTCCTACTTGTCTTAGTCTGCTTTGCTTTGCTATAACAGAAGGCCCGAAGCTAGGTAATTTATAAAGCAAAGAGTTTTATTTGGCTCATGACTCCTGGTGGTGGGTAAGTCCAACAGCATGACACCAGTACCCACTTAACTTTTGGCAAGGTCCTTTGTGCCACATTACAACATGGCAGGGAAGCAAAAGGGGAAGTGGGTGCATTCAGACAGGGAACCAAACAGGGGGAGAAGCCTCACTTTATAACAACCTGCTCTTGTGGGAACTAATTAATTCTCTCAAGAGCAAGGGCTCACTCCCTCAAGGCAGCATGAATCTATTCATGAGGGTCTACATAACCCAAATACCTCCCACCAGCTCCACCTCTCAAGATTGCTGCACTGGCAGTTAGACTTCAACATTAGTTTTGGCAAGGACAAACCACATCCAAATTATAGCACTACTTCATTTATGATGGTGAAATGAAATGACATCTTTTATTTATTTATTTATTTTTGAGTTGGAGTCTCACTCTGTCGCCCAGGCTGGAGAGCAGTGGCACGCTCCCTGCCACAGCAGCCTGGACCTGCTGGGCTCTGGCAATCCTTCCGCCTCAGCCTTCCAAGTAGCTGGAACTACAGGCGTGCACTACCACGCCTGGCTAAATTTTTTGATTTATTGTAGAGATGAGGTCTTGCCAAGTTGCCCAGGCGGGTCTCAAACCCGCGGGCTCAGGCAATCCACTCACCTCAGCCTCGCAAAGCATGGGATTACAGGCTGAGCCACCGAGCCTGGCCAAAATGACATCTTTTATGATCATTTCTTCTCAGGGCACCTGGCACAACCTCAGTGCACAATAAATGGTAGCAACTGTTGTTGATTTTAATATTTACAACAATCCAAATAGTCTAGTACAGTAAGTCCCCTACATACAAATGAGTTCTGTCCCAAGAGCATGTTTGTAAGTCCAACAAAGTTAGCCCAGGTACCCAACTAACACAATTGGTTATATAGTACTATACTGTAATAGGTTTATAATATCTTTCAGACAAACACAAAAAATAAAACATTTTAAATCTTATAGTACAGTATCTTGAAAAGTACAATAGTACAGTACAGTACAACAGCTGACATACAGGGGCTGGCATTGAGTGAACACGCAAGAAGAATTATTAATTGGAGAAGAGAGAAGAGGTGGGAGTTAGTAGAACTGAAAGATTGTCAGCAATAAGGGATAGAGAGCAAGACGGATGTGACTGGACATGAAAACACACATTCACATCTTTGCAAGTTCTCAACTTGAAGGTCTGTATGTAGGGGACTTACTATATTATAACCATTTTGTTTAAAAAAAAAAAGTTTGAAAAGGCCAAGCAGCTAATAGGTGGCAATACTAGGATTCCAACATGGGCTTCTGCCCCTTGAGTGGCAGGCTCCTGCTGCCCCTAGTGTAGAGTGGTTTCATACATCTAGGCCACATAAACCTTCACTTCCCTACGAAAGCCACAAGGACAGTCAACCTTAGCAAAGTGTACACTCTTCCCATCAGACAACAGAAGGAGAGTCATTTCAAGGTGATTCCTTTTGGAGAAGCTTTTGTTGCTGGTGAGGAAGGAAGTCAAGGCTCCACTGACAAGGAGGTTTTGGGTAGAGAGCCCTTAACACACCAGGTCCTCTGTTCTTTCTATGCTTTGTGAAGGGGTGCGGAGAAGACTCTTGACCTAGATTAGGAGAAGGTAACGATTCTTAAGCACATGGATGGGTGACAGACACTCTCATCTTTTCATATCAATGAGTTACAAGAACTTTCCTCAAACCTCACTACATCTCCTCTTAACAAAAACTCAAGGTCCGCCGGGCTTGGTGGCTCAGCCTGTAATGCCGCACCTGTGGGAGGCTGAGGTGACTGGATTGCCTGAGACTGCGGGTTCGAGACCCGCCTGGGCAGCAAGACCTCATCTCTACAATAAATCAAAAAAATCAGCTGGGCATGGTAGCGCGTGCCTGTAATTCCGGCTACTCGGAAGGCTGAGACAGAAGGATCGCCGGAGCCCAGCAGGTCGAGGCTGCGGTGGCTGGGAGCGGCCACTGCACTCCAGTCTGGGCAACGGAGTGAGACTCCAATTCAAAAAAAAAAAAAAAAAAAAACCAAAAAAAACACTGAAGGTCCAAACATTCACCCAAGCCAGTTTATAAGCTATACATTCCATGTCACTTTCAAACTGTGCAGACCTGTACATTCAAAACAATAAGAGGACACCATTTCTAGACAGGAATTCCTCCAAGTTTCTGATACGCCACAGAGTATCTGCCGTCCATAACCAATGCATCAAAACTGAAAAGAAGGCACTGTTCATGTGATACAAAAATAAACGGGAAAGAAATGTTTACACTCTACCCAGGATGTCAAGAATGGTTTAGACAGAACAATTATTTTACTTTGTTTTAAGGATTGTTGTAAACCAGCGGTCCCCAACCTTTTTGGCATCAGGGACCGGTTTTGTGGAAGACCATTTTTCCACAGACCACCTCAGGTCATCAGGCATTAGAGTCTCGTAAGGAGTGTGCAACCTAGATCCCTCGCATGTGCAGTTTACAATAGGACTCATGCTCCTATGAGAATCTAATGCCACTGCTGATCTGACAGAAGGTGGAGTTCTGCTGCCCAACCACTCTCCTCCTGCTGTGTGGCCCACTTCCTAATGGGCCATGAACCAGTACTGGTCCGCAGCCTGGAGGTTGGGGAGGCCTGCTGTAAATGACACTGTCTAATGCTTTAGAATATGTGTTGTCCCTATTTTTTTTTTTTTTGAGTTGGAGTCTCTGTCGCCCAGACTGGAGTGCAGTGGCCGCTCCCGGCCACTGCAGCCTTGACCTACTGGGCTACGGTGATCCCTTCACCTCAGCCTTCTGAGTAGCTAGAATTACAAGCACGTGCTACCACGCCCAGCTAATTTTTTGATTTTTTATTGTAGAGATAAGGTCTCGCCTGCCCAGGTGGGTCTCGAACCCACGGCCTCAGGTAATCCACTCACCTCAGCCTCCCAAAGGCGCGGGATTACAGGCTGAGCCACCGAGCCTGGCTTGTCCCTATTTTAATACTCTCCCCTGAGATATTACATAAAGCATACTTCAGTTCCATCTATTTGCTAGTATTCAATAAAACACACTGAATGAAGATGGTGGTAGAAATAAGAGTGGCGATGGGGGGGACAAGGGTAGCCAGACCTGAAATCTGATTCTGGGAGCAGGCCTTCATTAGAACTCAGAAAGGGAAATTCTCTGGGCTGTAAAGAAAATTTGGCCCCTGTGGCTGGCTACTGTAGAAGGGGAAGGTGTTTCCACATATCATTAAGGGAGGGCCCGGGCAGTGAAAGTGACTGGTTTTGTGATCAGCTCACTGGGATGTTTTTGCCATTAGCAATGATAAGCCATTCTATCAAGTTACCAGTGTGCCTTTCTCAGTCACTCCAGAGAAAAAGTCCCATCAGCTGAGACACTGACAGCTCCCAGAGGTCCCATCACAAGGCCAACTACAGACACAGCCTTGGGAAGAGGGCAGCTCAGCCTCACCTGTACTCGTACCTCGGCAATTGATGCCTGGCTGATGGCTGCTGCTCTTTCAGCAAGGGGGTAGAACCCACCGACTTAGGCCTTTAGTTAGTTAAATACACAAGAAATAAGGTGTTGTCTGTCAGTTCTAGTCCAGTCTCCTAGGTGTCTCCGAGTTCAACATAAAATGGATTAGAGTCGCAGCAAGAATAAAATAAGCTCACTTGAAACAAGGTAGAAA